CTAGCACTCGCGCTCGCGGCTTTTTAAAATGAAGCGTGCCAACCCTGGGACGCACTTCCCACGGAGGGCTCCGCTTGGAGAAGTGGAGAAGTAGCCAGTACACTAGTTAACACGTTCACAGAAGCGGAGACGCAGTTGCACATAGCTAGTAAACCAGTGACAACGTCATGAGAACGTGCCAGGGAGATGCAGGAGCCAAGGGGCAGAACAATCGCGGGGCACTGGAGGGCTGCCGTGAGGCCCCCTCTCAGCCGGGAAGATTCTGGATGCCGTAAATGTGTGACCATCAGTCGGTGAACATATTAAGAAAATTTCACTTGACAATAAAGAAGCATGCTAATAAAGGTAAAACTCAAGAGAGAAAATCAAATTTTGAATTTCTAGTATGCTAGAGATCTATTTGAGTCAAGAACACAAAATTAAAAAAAAAACAAAAACAAAGACTAGAAAGCTGTCCAGACTATGATCTACAAAAGAATTATGGAAACACGAACTGCCTGTTTCTTTCCCCGGCAGGGCAGGCGTGCTGGACAGATAAGGGGGACCGGGCAGGAAGCTGGAGGACAGTGTCCGTGCGCCTTTGGGAGGCATCTGATCCTTCCTTCCTCAGCCCAGAGGAGAGAGAGGAGGGAGTCTCCCTGCTCGCGGCTCCTGGCTAGACACAGTGGGCCAGAGAAGGGGATCTCTCCCCACCCACAGCTCTGTGACAAGGGTAGCCCGTGAGAACGAATGCAGCATGCTTCGTGTAGACGGGCACATCTGACCCGTGGGCATATCGGGTCCAAAGCCTCACAACCACTCTTCCAAGTGGAACAGATGCTCACCCAGTGCCAGCCCACTGCTCTGGGGACTGCAGCTGGGAGCCGAACACCCAGGGGACCACCCGCCTCCCGGCCACCAAGGGCACCAACCGACACCCTGGCTCCACGGGGAGGTGCTGTGCACGGGTGGGGGGCTTCCTTTCGCTTTGGTGTGCTATTTTGATGGCAAGTTCCAAAGCAACTCTTTCAGAAAAAAAAGATAACCAGGATAAGAAAGAAGAATTCTCCTGGGAGAGAACTCAGACACTGTAAGGGTCGGAAAGGCAAAAACCCTTTTCACATGAAATTTCTTAGAAGTTCTTGAGAGTTTTTATCAGTAATCCCTCACTAGATTGAATTGTGAACTTTAATTGTTTAATTAATTGCTGGTCATTTTCCTTAAATAATTGTAGTGACAGATTTTTAATTTTATAAAACGTTTTCTTTAAAAAAAAAAAAAAAAAGAGTTTTCAAGCTCTCTCCCTCGCCTGCACAAGTCTCTTTGGTGACGTTCTGCCCCTCTGGGCTGACCTCGTGCCCCCTCGTTCTTCCTCCTGTTTATATCAAAACACAGACAGGCAGAACTCCAAACTGACAAGAGTCGTTTGGGCCTTGCAAGACTGAGAAAATAAAACACACAGAAGGAGCCATCTGTCCTCAAACTCACTCACAACTTTCCATCTTCAACGGTAAAGGAAAACACTACTTGACCCTTTTTCATTTAAAGGGATTTTACTTTACAGCAACACAGAAACCCTCAAACCATCTTTTACTCAGGCAAAATAAATGTAAAAAGTACATACATCGTGCCTAGGGCACGACGAATCTGATGACCCCTCCACAATGTCAAAATGAGATTCCTTCACACTTCTTTAACTTCACCAAAGGAGTGCGTGGTGTTTACTCGGCCCGGGACGTGCTTCACAGCTATAGCTCATTTAAACCTTGGGACCAGCAGATGGCATAATGGGTATGTCGCTGGACTCCCACATGGCTGGCCCCAGTTCAAGTCCTTGACTCCAGAGTTTGAAACTCACATCAGGTGCGTGTACGTACGTGCTCAAAATCTTAAGAGGAGAATGGAAAAGAAGGAACTGCACCATGGCCATCCCCCCTCACTTTCTATTTCACTGTCTCTCCAGTGAGCACAAACACCATAGAGCAAAAATATCTCCTAAAAAACAAACAGGAACCAGCAGTTGGCGTAGTGACTATGTCACTGGACTACCATGTAGTCGACCATGGTTCGAGTCCCGGACCAGGTGGCTTAAACTCACACTGGGCGCATGTGCGTGTGTGCTCAAGATCCAGAGAGGAGAATGGAGGAGAAGGGATTGCGGTGTGGCCATTCTCTCTGGGGGGTGATTTCTCGCTTTCTGTCTGTCTCTCGCTGTCATTCTAGTGAGCGCACGTGCCCTATAGCAAAAAATCATTCCAAAAAAAGAAAAAACAAACAAACAAAACTCAATATAGTCCAGTGAGGTACTATCTTAGATTCATTTTAAAGCTGAAGAAAATGAAGCGCAGAGAGATTGAATAACTGGGCGAGGTCACACAGCTAGTAAGAGACAGAGCTGGAACTTAAAGGCAGTCTAGCTCCAGAGACCATGCTCTTTCACAGGCATCCACCAAACCTAAGGTAAACTCGGTTAGGGCAAAATCACCTTATACATTTTTACAACACTCCCATTCCTATAATCAACTCATGCCATGTTGCATTTCCTGTGATTCTTGAGGAAAAGATAGCTACTATAAAATACTATATATATGACCACCATATAATCTTTCCTAAACAAGATGAAGGTGTGAAAAATAAGAGCTGTCTGTAACTGGAGAAAGCAAAACAGAAGCCAACTCTTGGATGTTTAAATCTTGTAACGCCACTGTCACTTTAAAAGGTCCCTGTACTCATTCAAATTCTGAATTGCCAACCTAGTGCATATTAGAGAAAATTTAATTACCTGGCACAGAAAAATGGAACAGCTTTAGAGGTGCTTCCCTGGAAATTCTAGTCACTGACCTCTGAGATCCGAGGGGTTTTCTCTGTGGAATTCCCTCTGTGCACCTGGCAGAGAACACTTGCCCCTGACCGGCCTGCAGGAAGGGAGCTCCCCTGCTGCGGGCCTTCTGCCACTGCGGCCTTGTCCTGGGTCGGGTGGGCTCTGCCCTCCTCAAAGCCCTTCGACATTCCATCTGGGAATTTCCTGCACGTTGAAACAGCAGCAAAGCAGGGGACTTTCTCCATCCCTGCAAACATCTATTATTTTTCATTCGAGAGGTGTGTGTATGTGTGTGTTTGCGTGTGTCTGTGCGCAGGCACACTGGGCCAGGAAGGTTCCTCTTCTCCCTGTGGTTCTGAGAGCCTGATGGTTGCTCAAATTCCACACCTTTGGCCTCTAGCCATCCAAATAGTTCTAACACTAGGGAACAATAGCAGAGGACTAAATCCCACTGGGCACCTTCTTCTTGACCATCTTTTCTTAAAAAGTGTCAACAGAGGACGACAGGTGGTATGGTGATTAAAGACGCTGGACTCCCACATGGCCAACTGTGGTTCGAATCCTGGACCTGGCGGCTTGCTTTCTTGCTTTCCCTTTCTCTGTGGTTAAATTAAAAATAAATAAATAAATAAATAACAATGATATAATTAATTAATTAATAATAATAATAAAACAGTGAGAATAGACCACCCAGTAGGGTCAGCAGCTTTGCCTGGTTCTCTGGCCCCACCCCACCTCCTTGGAACAGTGTGGCTGTGGCCCCTGTGCAGAGCGTCCGGCCCAGTGACAAGCGCGTAGTGCACACAGGCCCTTCCACCTCTCCGAGGTGACAGGCCATACACACAGGTACAGACAGCGTCTGCGACTGTTACCCTCCCTCCTCACCAAGTTAAGGAAGCCATCCGAGCACTCCCCCAGATTACAATAGCTGGTGGAACTTCAGTTTCCTGAAATTAAATTACCCCACCCCTTACACTGACAACCCATCTCCAAGGCAGGTTCCCTCAATGCCAGCTCTCACCTCAACCACACCTGCTGTTCCTCTAAGCCCCTTCCTCACTAGCACATACCTCAGTGCAGGACCCACTGGAGTAGCCCTCCTGTCACCAGATGTGCGCACCCGGCCCTGTAAGGATGCCTGGATAGTGACTTGCTCATTTGTAGGTTTTGCAGAAAGGATGCTTCTCAGTCCAATACGCACACACCCCACCCCTCTCGAATGAAAATGAAGAGTTGTTTGCAGGAATGGAGAGTGCGTCCTCCTTTGCTGCTGTTTCAATTGCTAGGACATTCCCAGACAGAATGCTGGAAAGTTTGGAGGAGGGCAGAGCCCAGCCGCCCAGGACAAGGCCGCACTGGCACAAGGCCTGGCAGCAGGGGAGCTCACCTCTCCTGCAGGCAGGATTGGGGCAGAAGCTCTCTGCCAGGTACACGGAGAAAGTGCCACAGAGAAAGTCCCTCGGACCTCCAGGAGGTCACTGACTGCGGAATTCCCAAGAAACACCTCTAGGAGCTGTTCTGTTTTTCCGTACCACGTAATTCAGTGAGATCAAGGTAAGTGCTGGGAAGAAGGTAAGTGCTCTGAACGTTACCACTAAAATGTCTACTTTCAATCATGGAAAAGGTAAAAAACAACAACAAACCACGGTGATTTGATCCGACACTCATTACTCATTACAGGAAGTTGGTTACTTACAGAACTCACAAATCGTGCTTTCCAAAGGTTTTATTTTATTTTGCCGGGTGGTCTATTTAGAACACTGTCAATAGAGCCTCACTTCAAAAAAACCAGACTTACAAATGGACCACCGTAGCAGCAGCTCTGGCAGGGTGGTACGCACAGCCAGGCTGAGGGCATTTAGTGTAAATACAGTCTAGACTCCTTATCTTGCCCCATCTCAGCCTGGAGAAAAACGGGGCTGTAAACCCAGTGAAAACAGAAGAGCTGAGATAATGGGGGACAGATGCTAAGACAAACACCCTGGGGTGCCCCTGGGCTCCACGAAGCAGGCACCTAATCCAAGTGGCTTGGGGTCAGAACCGGGCAGAGGGAGGAGTCGGGCCGGTGTCTGCAAACTCCCAGGTCTGACCCGCACTGCCAAGCCTTGCTCAGCAAGACTGTCTGATGTGTGGACGGAGGCCGTGAGCAAGGTGCAGAGCCCCACCTCCCAGGCACCGAAGCAGCCGGCATGATACTCACGCTGACACTGTCCCCAGGCCTGGCGAGCCCAGCCCCAGCAGCAGTCGATCCTTCCACCATAGCGACATAGGCCGATGGACGACACCAGGTGCCGGGGCCACCTACCAAACAACAAGGTCCAAGTTCAAGCTAATTTCCTTTGTTAGCATTTTAGGGGGAAAAAGTGTTTAAATCACACCCAACAATTTTCTACAATTCTTTCATGCCTGTGGAAATTTAAAGATAACACACCTTCACAGAAATAGTTCCACTATGATCTCATTTAAAATTTTATTAAATATGTACAACAATCCCCACTCCCCAACACCACGCAGAAAAAAAAAGGAGGGGGGAGATTCGTCCTTAACTAGAAATAGCAGCAGCTAAACCCAGGAATTCTCAGGGCTGCCACTCACAGGGTGGTTTCTGAAGCTTGAAATAAAACAGATTCCACAGGGACTGGCACCTGTTACTTGGGGGGTGGGGGGCGTTTTGACTGACTCATTAGAAACTAGAAAGTAGGCAATGATTTGAGAGACAGCAAAGCAGGAATAACAGATCGTCTCATGTAGAAGGTGGACGCGGGAGGGACATACAGAACTAAAGCAGGTGCTTGGAAAGTCTAATGGAACAGAGCGTACTGGGAGAAACCCGGCGATAAAGTCTCCAGGGCAGAAAGTCCTAGAAGTCTAAACAAAACCACGAGGCGTTTCAAGTGGTCCAGCGATCCCAGCGGACACTTCAGGCCTGCATGGACATTCATCTCCCGTAAACAACGGCGGAGACAGCGTGCAGTTGGGGTGCAGGCTGCACTCTCTCAGGGACTTCCTAAATGACTCCCTTGTCTAGAGACACCCCAAATGATGTTTTTCCTCCAAGATGGACATTTTTAATCAGCCGTTTTAGAAATCTTTTTAAATCTACAATAAAATCGCGTGCATATCATGAGATGCACGACTGGGTCCCATCTCCTGTGGCCGGCGTGCGTGCAAGTGGGTGTGCAAGAGATGCACAGCGCGTCCCAGTGCGGCAAGGAACTGCTGTTAAAACGCAGGTCAGACGGAGTGGCCTCTGGTGCCGCGGCATCTTAAACTGCCTGCACCTCAGGCCCCTGCCTCTCCCTGCCCTCTCCACCCGCAGGTCCAAAGTCCAAAACCACGGGGAACTTCCTCCTTCCCCAGACCCCGACCGCACACCACAGCGGCGCCTGCTCCCCCCTGCCGCTTCGGTGTCCGCTCCAGGAACAGGGGCCGACCAGTCCTGGGACCGAGCGGCTCTGAGTGCAGGTGGATGACGCGTGACATCCTCTTTTAGGGTCGCGCGGGGACCGATCCCGAGGGGGCGCGCCCTGTGATCCGGGCTGCGCACCTGGGGAGACCCGCCTGTGGCCGCGCACGAGCTCCGGACCGACCTCGCACTGGGCCCCGCCACA